TAGATTTAGCTTTGCTATATATAATCTGCGATTCTTGGTAGTCACGGATTATGCTTTCACTTTGAGACTAATTTTGGGGAACGAATTATTGAAATACTAAAAGTAGTTTCAACGGATAAATGATTTAGTAGTTTTTCTTCAGTTTCTTGCTCTGTTATGGACTCATGGTTCCACCACTCCGTGCTGGTTCCCTGTCTAATGTTTCTTTGGATCTCATCTTTCTAAATTCGTATTTGTTCCCTGTTTCACCTTACAATACAATGAATTATGGATAAGGCCAATGAAGATGGGTTTGCTGAAAAAATCCAGTACGTGCAAAATTCCTAATTCCTAATTGATTTTTGACTTTTCCACGTGGTTTTGTGCTTCAATGCAATCCTTCGCCTTTTAGTAACTCTGGTCTTCTTATTTTGCCTTCTTAGCATGTGGGACACTCGTAGTTCTGTTCCTTATTTTGGTTTACTGTTCCAATGGGATAATGGTGGGAAGTGGAAAGGGTTCAATCATGAGGAGAAGAATGGACGATGGTAGGTTGGAAGAATTTTCAATAATTCTTAGATTTTCCAGTTAGGATATTGTCATGCCACGTAAGCATCAGCATTAGCATTTTTCAGTCAAAATATCATATCTAAACGGTCAACTTTGAAGCACTTAACGGCATAGGCATTTTTGCTTGGTTTTTAAAAGTTTGTGTGCATTTTTGCCCCTCTAATTTTATTACGGTGCCTAGTGCTCTTTTTCAATATTTCAATGAGTAAATTTGCCCCTTTACCCTTATTTTTATCATCACACCATTTTTTAAAATTTTTTTTATGTCTCTATAAAAATTCAACTGTTGTTAGACAGCACAATCAGACAAATCATCTTCGCACACCGTACAAAATCTGATAAATAAGTGACTTTGTAATAAATTTCATATTTTATTTTGATGGATTCGCGTCAATTATATATATATATATATATATATATATAGCTAATTTGAGCAGGAAATTAGTACAACACACAGAATCTCTCATCGTGACTTAATTATAACAAGTGTGGATGGTTCGAATATGACAGCCATTAGAAATAACCACTCGCTCTAGGCTTTGAGCAAGCCTTATCCTTATCCCATACAATACGCTCCCAAGCTCAGCTTCTATTGAAGAGCTTATGTATTCAGGAAGACGGCACCCAATTGGTTAAAACGGACAAAGTCCAATGCTCTAAATGTCAAAGTCAAAAAATTTAACCATGACTCTCTTAGAGTAACCAACAACAGAATTCAAGATGTTGTCTTCTTGACCATGTCATTGGATTCTTTTTTTATAAAATACCATCTCTGGTTTTTACTATAAAAACTAATTGACTAATTTGAGTAGATTAAGAAAGATTGTTGAGTTAGTTTTTTGTAATAACTAAATATTGTATTTCCTAAAATATCATTACTAATTATATATATTAGCTAAAATTATCATTTGATGGAACATTTAACATATGCAACTATTACAATAATTGCTTTGGAAACAATGGATGATATGAGAGACAAAATAGATTGGAGTCTTATATTTAGAACCAAATTGAATGTTAAACTAGTTATCATATTAAGGACTGGAGGTAGTAGCATAACCCACATTTGCATTTTGATATTATTTCTCAATTGCATCCAACACTTTAATTTTATTTAGTAGGGTGCTAGATGTACTATGGATAAGATTACAGTACTAAATACTACTGAAAAATAATATCATAGTACTGGATAATTATTTAAGTATTTGTTTTTTAGATTCGACACATTCATACACGCAATAAAAAAGTTCAACCTTCTTTATAGATTTTTTAAAATATATTTTGGCGTGATTTTGTATAAGTTCATAATTAGTTCATAGTGTATGTACAAATAATTATGCATAAATCAGTCTCCCGGGAGACAAAGTATTACTCCCTCTTGGATAAATTAATCATGGATCATTGTCTCACGACTAATGAAAGTTTTGTTGTCTAGTTTCCTTTAATTTAACAAGATTGATCCATGGCTTTTTTAATAAATTAAAGCCCATCCAAACTGCCACCAACTTCATGTTTGGTTTGCTTCTCTTCCTCCCCACCTGACACTACTAAGAACACTATAGCATTTAGCAAAAGACAAATTATAATTATTTCTGAGCATGTTTGAAATTAAACATGCAGTGTTAGAAAACAGGCAAACTTTTTTAATTCATGTTTGGCATAATAAATTTGAATCACTTCAATCGAATCAGGATCAGCTATTAAGTTTTTAATAATATTTCACTATTTGTCAATAATGGGAAAACAGCATCTTGTCTTTTTTTCCGCCTTGAAAAAAATTCCCGCCAAAAAAACAAATAATGCTTGAAGACTAATGGAGACACTTTATATAATCTTAACTGCTGGGACGTCTTTGTCCCAATGGTTGCGTCCAGGTTTCCGTTTCCGAAATAAAAGCAGCTTAGCAGAAATGTTCAAGAAAATGATACTCCCTCCGTTCCTTATTATAAGAGACAAATAACCGAAGTACGTTGATAAAAAAAACAGTTAAAATTAGTTAAGAACAATTAATGTGTAAAAAGTATAATTTGTTTTCCAAAAATACCCTCATTAATAAGGAAAGAGAACATGAGAGAGAATAATTAAAATATTAAAAGAAAGAGAAGTGGGAGGGAGAGAAAGTGTGAGTTGGAGATAATAAATATGAGTAAAATAGGAAATCAACACAAAAAAGTAGAGACAACTTTTAAGTGTCTCTTATATATAGGAACATACTATAAACATCAAATGTCTCTTATAATAAGGAACGGAGGGAGTAATGATCAAAGATAGGCCACACATGATCCCCATAATAAAGATTGTGTCACAATATTCACCAAAAAAAAAAAAAGACTGTGTCACAACGCTAAAAGGATCGACACTAGTGTTCTTTGTTTATAAAGTGAACAGCTTCAGGGATGCCCGCTGAGATCCCTCACGAGTCATCCGGACGGACGACGTGGGTTTTGGCCTTCAAGATAAACGACAAATCCTTTCCTGCACCGTGGCCGGGTCTTCTTCAGCCTGAACAACGACGTCGTTTTCGTTCTAATGTTCCGTTCACAGAGCGAAATTTGATTTTATTTTTTTTCCTTTTTTCAGGGAAATCCATTTGCACCCTGTTTGGGATTTTTCCTAGATTGGACGGTCGCCTTTTGTCTATTTTTCGGTTTTTGCCTATTTTTGGCTTCTGGTCATTTTTGTTTTGCAACTGTTCTGGGCTTCAGGTTCTCTGGCTTCTGGGCGGAAGTCATTTTTAAGAAAGACTTATCAAGAAGTCCCTTAAAAAAATATAATTATTAAAAAAACTCAGTTTGAACTTGTTGTTATATCCTCTCTTTTAAAACTTATTACTCCTCCGGTCCTAATTATAAGACCCAATTGACTTATTTGAGGAGATTAAGGAAGTAAGTTAAGTTGGTTATTTATAATAAATAAGTGTTGTTATTCCTAAAATATCCTTGCTAATTAAGTATATTGGCTAAAACTATCATTATTAGAAGGATTATCTTGGAAAAAAATACATAAATATAAGAGAGAAAATGGATTGGGTCTTATAATTAGGACCAAATAAAAAGTCAAATTGGGTCTTATAATAAGGACCGGAGGAGTATTACTTACTCTTCACTTATCAATGAATTTTTGGGTAATTAAATCTCACCTTTAGGATCTGATTGTAATTCTCCTCACTTTTAATTTCTGGATAATCACTGTTGACTCTTTTTTTTTTGGTCTTTGTGACTTGAGCCATTTTGTTTTGTATTCAAGAAATGATTTGGGCTAATTTTCAGTTGCCTTTTCTCATTTATTTATCTATTTAGCGATCTGTTTTTAGGAAAAATCCTAAAAGAAGTATCTCTTAAAGTTTCAAAATACTGAATCAATGTTTTTTATTACACTCTAGGAGTAACAACTGACTTCTAATTCTTTGTTTTGTTTTCCTTTTGGTTTTTAGGTTCAATCCTTTGTTGTAGGCCAAGTTCTCTTGCCTTCTAATTCAAAAAAAGAAGTAACAATTGACTGCACTTAAAAAGCAAACGGTAGCACATATTTGTAATAATTCTTGATTTGAGATTTTAAAATTTAAAAGGTATTTTCCTCATTTTTCCTCTGTTTTATGTATTATCTATTTTATTTGCCATTTAGTTGTTTAAATACACGAAAAAATAATTTTGGCCTGTTTCCCTAACCAGAAAATTTTGAAATTTTTATTGTGTGCCGTTTAGTTGTCTTTTTTGCGGCAATTATATCACGAAAGTTGGACTTCGCAGGATCACTTTGGAGTTAGAATATGCTGAAACTAATTCGCTGGTGCATGAAATAGCGGAAGAGTTTAGTTTTGATTATTTAATTACGCCCTTGGTGATTACATTAATTGATTAAATTCTCATAAAGGTTTGTGTATATTTGGAATTTAAATGCACATAATTCATATTTGTGGCTAACTTGTGATTTTAAAGAGTAGCCACACCATCCTCTTGTATGTTCAAACAGGCACCGACTTCATGTTTGGTTTGCTTCTCTCCTTCCTCAGCTTACATTACTAAAAACATTATATCATAAGATCTAGCTAAAGACAAATCTGTTTTAAATTATGATTATTTCTGAGCGTGTTTGAAATTGAACATGCAGTGTTAGTAAACTTTTTTTTTTATTCATGTTTGGCATAATAAATTTGAATTACTACAATCGAATCAGGATAAACTATTAAGTTTTTAATAATATTTCCTATTTGTCAATAATGGGAAAACAGCGTCTTGTCTTCTTCTTTTTTTCCGTTGAAAAAATTCCCCCAAAAAAAAAATGCTTGAAGACTAATGGAGACACCTTATATAATCTTAACTGCCGGGACGTCTTTGTCCCAGTGGTTGCGTCCTGGTTTCCGTTTCCTTAGTGTATGTATGACATTAACGATAATTCTTTGCGACTGCAGAATCTGTATAATCCAAAATATAAATGGCAAATAATTGGAGTGATCTGCTTTAACCCTTTTCGTTATTAACGTGATTGATAAACGTAATTAGATGACTTTTAATTATTTTTAAGGCATGGTTTTAATGCCCATTACACATCACCATATATGATTATCAAATTTTAGCCACTCGATCGGACCACTTTCTTTTCAGCCACACAAGGCTTATCATATCTCGTAATCATATTAAACAGAAGAAAAGAAAACTTACATTTGACAGAAAAAAAGAAGCCCTTAAACTCGATCCATGTTTTGTAATTGGATGGGTTTGTCCCGATCTTTGTCGGAGTTCGGTGCTCTAGGCACGTTTCTTGGCTTCGCCCTGAATTTACCGAAAGACCCCTCCATTTCCTCGAGGGTTTTGCCCTGTGTTTCCGGGAAGAGAGTATAGAAGAAGATCCATCCAATGACCGCAATGGATCCATACAGAAAGAAGGCCCCACCAATTGTCATGGCCTTCGATAAGGACAAAAAGGTCATTGAGATCACGCCACTCATCGTTCTATTCACCACGACTCCCATAGCCGCACCCTGAGCGCGTAGCCTCAACGGAAGGATCTCCGTGCTATACACCCACGCGATCGGGCCGGCCCCGATCGAGAACGTCCCCACGGAGGATAACACTGTGGCGATACTCAATCCAACGGCCCACTTCACTTTGGTATCCGAGTGCTGGATGACCGTGAGGCACGTGCCGAGAGTAAAAAGTGAGAGTATGATACCGCCAAAACTACTGAGCAACAACGGCCGTCGCCCGACCCGGTCCAACAAGAACGTGGCCACCAAGATGAAGATCGTCTTGGTGAATCCCACGGCTACGGTTCCGAGAAGCTTTTGCCTATCGGATGTGATGCCAGCCTTCTCAAAGATTGTGGGGCTGTACAAAACGACGGAGTCTAAGCCAATGGCTTGTTGAAAGAAGTGTATGCCGACGACAGCGAGGACGATGTGTCGAACGGCGGGTGTAGCCGTAATGAACATCTCCTTCCACACGCCTTTGCGTGTGCTCTGCTTGCTGACCTGAACGACGTCGTCGTTGCAGCTCTCGGGGATCCCAGCCGCTGACTTGATGTCGGCTAGCCTCAGCCGAGCCTCTTCTTCAGAATCCGCAGTTCGCTCAAGGACTCGGCGTGCTTCGCCGAGCCGACCCTTCATCACCAGCCATCGAGGCGACTCCGGCATGGCTAACACTCCTAGTGCGATCAAGATCGAAGGAACGACGCCGACTCCGAGCATGAGCCGCCAGCCTAGCCAAAGTGGCAGCCTGGAGAATGCAAAGTTGGAGATATATCCAAACAGAATCCCGGAATTGATGAAAACCTGAAAGCACAAATGGCGTTAATTCACTACTTTGCTGTATGTGCGCCGGTGTGAGGAGAAAGGAGAGGCCGAGGGGGGTTACCTCCGGGAAGGAAGTGAGGAAGCCACGATAGGAGGTGGGGGAGAGTTCGGCGGTGTAGACGGGGGCGATCATGAGGGCGTAGCCGATGCCTATGCCGGCAACGAAACGGCCGAACATGAGGAAGGCGTAGTTCGGGGAGAAGCCCATGAGAAGAGCACCGACGAAGAAGATTGCAGCGGCGAGGATGATGGTGTAACGACGGCCGATCCAGTCGGAGGTTCTTCCGGCGAGGTAGGAGCCTATGAGAGAGTAGAGGTTGATTATCCCCATGAGGATTTCCTCTTTCTCGTCCGAGATGTGTAGGTCTTTCCTTATGTAGAGAATAGCTCCGCTCATGACACCAATATCTGAAATTTCAGAGAACTGTGGTCAGATTGATTCATTGAAACAATTAAAAACTTGTAGGTGTTTCTGCAAATAACTAGAGATTTGGTACAGTAACTGACCATAGCCAAGCAAGATGGAAGTCATGGAGGCCAAAGCAGCACAAGCGAGAGCAAACTTGTTCCTTTTGGGCTTCTTGGGAGGATCAAAATCTGCTAAACTTGTCATTTTCTGGGCTGCTGGCAGCTCAACTGATGCCATCTTATCTTAATCAGTTCATGTATCAGTGGCTGGGAGACTGAGAATTTACAGAGGAAGTGGTGAGAAGAACGCCGAGGACCGCGGGGTCTTATATAGACAAGTGGGACTCCACGCCTTGGAGCATCCATGTGTCAGTGACAAATGTTACCCATGTGATGAGAAGCTGTGTTATAGTCATGTTATATTTAATATAAAAACTAATTATTGATTTAATTTTAATTTTAAATATAAGACTTATTTATTATATTTATTAAGTTTTTCTAAATTACTCCTATAAATATTTTTTCAACTATAATCAAGTAAAGGAGGAAGAGGGAATATTAAGGAAGATGATTATGGTGTTTTTAAAAAAACATGTCATATTTTTATAATTAACTTACTTATCTAACTTCCTTAATCTAATCAAATTAATTAAATAGATCTTATATTAAGAACATGAAGAGTGTATCTTTATTTTAAATTCTAAACATTTACATTATCTTTAAATAAATATACTCTAAATTATTAAAAATGAGAAAATTTATGTAAGATTGATTATATTTATTATGTCAAGTTCTTCAATCATATATGTTCATGTGCTCTTTTTTATTTCATGAAGATTTTTAATTAAATACAAATGCTAATATTTTAAAAACATGACAGATGGTCATGTGATTAAAAAACTTGACATGATTGATATAAAAAATTTGATGTAAATATTATCTATTACAAAGTGTCGTATCTTATTTATTTAGAATTATTCTAAATTTTATTTTTTATTTTCTGTTATCTTTTACGATTTACCAGACTCTGATTAAAATTTAATATTTTAAATAATAATTGTACTTGTGACTCTCTACATTGGGCTCGTCTTTCCTCGAAACTTTTGCGCCTTGTCGATATGTGTTATCCAAATCCCACTTTTTCAAAATTATTTTTGACATGATGAGCTTATCAAGCGTAGAATTTTAAACATTAGTTATGATTCTGAACTTTTCTATCATCCTTTTCTTTTTTCTTTTTTTTGAAACTCGGAAATAACTGGCCTATTCCTTTGTAATAATAAATACAGATAAATAGCGATAAAAGTTTGTTTTGGATTACGAGAGAATTCCTTTTCATATTGACAATCATATAGTTATTTTTATTTTACTCTTCCGGTTTTTAATATAGGACCCAATTGTTGAGTTGGTTTTAGTCCTTAATATAAGACCAATTTTTCATATTTATTAATTTTCTCTAAATTACCCCTATAGATACTCCATCAATCATAATCAAGTAAAAGAGAGATATGAGGTATTAAGAAAAATGATTATAGTGTTTTAGGAAAAATGTGTTACAGTTCTTATAATTAATTAACTTACCTAACTTTCTTAATATAATCAAATTAGTTAAAAAAAGTCATATATTAAGGATCGGAGGAGTACCATGAATAACGTAGAAATTGATTTTTTTTTGGGGTATAGCACAATTTAGAAGTAAAATCTAATTACTCCAAAATGGATCACTTTCCAGACTTACAAATGGGGCTTAATCGAGAGTCAAACACTTATATTTTCCCCCTGAAGTGCTAATTAACGTGTTCTGATTTAAAACGCACAATTAATTAATTCCTGAACACGACAATATATGAAAGATATATTATATATGATTTGAACTTGGAAAAGTCCGACTTCCTTCTCATCATTGGACACGTAATTTGCTTTTAGTGCAGTTTCTTTGGCGTAGCATTTCTGGTCGCACGCCTTAGTTGGACTTCATAAGTAACCACAAATTATCAGTTTCATGGATAACATGAATTTTTAAACCCCCCCCCCAAAAAAAAGCACTCGTGGTAATTCATGAATCCTTATAGAAACAAATATTTGGAAATATATATATAAATACAGGCATCCGGAAATAATTTTGGTTTTTGTAATGAGAATTCATATGGTTGGTCTAAATTAAAAAAAATGTGGAAAATATATGTCTTGGGGAAGTTCTAAGGTGGGAAAGGGGGGATTACAAAAGTAATCATGTGGGGGATAAATGTTGTTAAAAAAGTTTGCTTTCATTCAGTAAATGACAACTTCACTTATAGTATTTTTCCGATTCTAAAATATAAGAGTTTTATATTTAGAACCGGAAGAGTATATGACAAAAATATGGGTTATGCTACTTTTTGTTGGCGACTGCGGAAATGTTATTTGAATGGTGGATATTTGCCCTGTTCACGATGAATTATCAAAATCTAAATCAATTAAATTTTACTTTATGAAAAATAAATGAGGCTAGACGCGACTATAAATTTTGTGAGTCAACAAGTCAAAAAAAAAAAAGGAGGTATCACTAATTTCTGTCAGCATTTATTTTGAGTCGAGCAAGTCAACATAAATTTTTGGGAGTCAAAAATGAGGGGCTCCTGACTCCCAAGTCATCAATTAGTGGGCCCACTTTATTATTTTTTACCCCCAAAAGTTTTGCGTTGGGGATCTTTGCTGTTATTTTACTTTGTTTGTTAGGCCCAAAAGACATAAATAATCCCTCTTAGCCTCTCACTTCTTTCTTCAATTACTGTCCTCCACCTGTTTTTTTTCCATTTCTTTTCTGTTCTTTGTCAAAAAACACAAAAAGGTACTTACATTAATCTCGCTTAAGAGTTAAGATGGCCAAAAAAAATCTTGCTTGAATTTATACTGTGAATAATTCATTGATGTTTTATATTAGACTCTACCAGAAATCTACACATCTTCTGAAATATTAAAAAAAAAAAAGTTATGACATTCATAATTTATAGGTAGTGAAATTGCTTTTAAACTTTAAATTTTCTGCAATTTGTTACTATATTATTGTTATTTTCTTCATGCATTCATATTTTTGTCTAGAGGATGATACATTTGCAGTGCCTTTGTTTTAGTTGGAGGCGTTAAAAATCTAATAAATAAGATATGCATTTTCTATCGCTAATGATTTGAGAACACGTAAAAGAAAGATTTGTTGACCGAAAAAGTTGATTCCCTGAGCCAAGGGATGATATTATTTATTATCCACATTCCACACTCGGGTTTGACATTTTGACTGAAGTGAGAAAATTTTCAATAGTGTTATAATTCAATACTAACTCCAATCCTTAATATAAGAGCTAGTTTGACTTTTAATTTAGTCTATAAACTCTTAATATATTTTTTTCATATTTATCTATTTTTTTAATATAGTCGTTGTCGTAATTACACATGTTAAATATTTCATCAAATGATAGTTATAGCTAATAAATTTGATTAGTAAAAGTATTTTAGGAAAGATATCACTTATTTATTACAAATAGTTAATTTAATTTTATTTTTTTAATCTATTCAAATTAATCAATTAACTGTTATATTAAATACTTGGGGTGGTATAAGGTAATTAGTGTTTTTGATGATTTATGAGTTTTTTAAATTGTAAAAAATACACAAATACTGAAAATACATGTGAGAAAAGGGTGAAACAAATGTGGTCTTTTTTTAAAAAAAAAAAAAAAAGACCAAGATACTGTGACAATTTTTTCTTTGAAAAAAAGTACTGAGCCACAAAAGCGGGAACAAATTAAGTGATCCGAGCTTAAATTGCAAGGCTTCTTATTTGAATAAAACTACGTTGGACTAGCCTTCGAAGGCTAAGAATATTCAACATCCCATATTTCATGTCGCTATACGACTATACGTAAGACTAACGACAGATGATCTCTTTTCGTGGTTATTGATTGAAATATTACCCCATCTTAAGTCTAAGAATTAATTAAAAATTTAATTTGATCCTGAATATAAGATTGTAATTTGCTTCATTTTTATATTTATTTATTTTTCTTAAAGTAGTCCTATAATAATTACATATATTAAAGGATTTTTATTTCAAATGTACATGATAAGTATTTTTTTGGAAGATAGTACCTATTTGTTACGAATAATTAACTTGATTAATTTTTTTAATATTTATAAACTATTTATCTAACTCTTATATTAAGAATCAAAGCAATATTAAATAACTATCCATTGTTTAATTAATCTTAGAATCATTTGCATCTAATTAATTTCATCACCAGGGTCAAGTATTGCAAAAGAAAAATTAGTAAAATCACATCACAAATTTACAAGAACGAATCAATTTTTTCTTTATTCATTAATTATATTCAATCAAATAATGAAACAGTGTACGTACAGCTTGACAAGGATGATCCTGATTTTCAACACCCATGGCATCATCTTTTTGGCTTAATTAATCATGAACCGGAGAATGTATCTGGTCAGTAACAGGCCTTAATTTGTCTCATTCTATTGTCTAATTGATAGCGATTATGGATGCAATTATACATGCAAAGTTACAGGTATTTAGAACAAATAAAATAAAATAATGAATGTCTCATCATTATTTGCTGGTCTTATGTGTAGACGGCATACCAATCAATATGAAACAAACATGTGAACATTTGACTGATGAGGGATCACAAGTCAACAGTATGACCACCATAATTTTGAAATTTTTTCCTCATGAAAATATTATTTATGTTGCAGTTTTTTTTTTTTTTTGCCAATTTATGTTGCAGTTAGTATCACTTGGTTCAACAAGTTTGCCTGGTCAAAACAAAAAAACAAGTTTGATTTTTCTTTTTTGGTAATAAATTAAATACCATGATATTATGAAATAAAATATTGCAGTTATACAGTTATAACATAGAAAATGGAAAGGACAGATACAATCGGATAAGAAGGCGCACGGGGGCAGTAACATAAGTGACTTCTGAAAATAAGTTTGATTTTCTCTTTTTTTTTTACAGTGATATCAAAGTCGAACCTTATATATTTGTAAAAACATAATAAAATATTACTCATGTTGGCCTTAAATATAGGAGTTAAATAATTATTTATAAATATTAAAAAAATAAGTCGGTTTAGTTATTTGAATTAAATTTGCGCTGATAATCCTATGATATCTCTTCAATTATGCACGCTAAAATTAGAAAAAACCATTTTGCCTGTAATTATATATTTTTTAATTTTCAATTAGGTAATATCCCTTTTTTACTCTTCATTAAATATTTTAATTTTGTTCTCTTAGGTCTTAGTATTATTGGCCCCAGT